CAGGGTGAATAGTTACCAATCTATTGGTAGGAAAGATTTTCAAGCATTAAAGCTGCTATTTATATGTGGAACCTACAATATAATATGTTCAGCCTTAGCAACACCAATCATGTATCACTTGGAACAGAAACAACAACACAAAATATCAATTAACAATATATCTGTATAAGTTAAGGTTACTATAACAATGGATTTTACTGTTAGGAAAAGATCCTGAACTTACTTCACTCTTAAAATACACAAACATCAAAAAAAAGGAAGACAGTATATATATTTTAAACTAGTGTGGCTTAGGTAAATTCCATAAAATATTTAAATTTTAATTGTAAAATTCACTATTAGATGTGGGTTTATTCACACAATCCATATACCTATAAAGTAACATTTAAAGCATCAATATCTCTTAGTAACATTTAATGGTAATCTACTGATTTTAAATATGCAAAATATTTTTAGAAGAATCCAATTTTTAATTTTAACTCCATGTGTCCAAAGATGCGATTGTGCCCAAATACAAATCAGTAACATTTCAAAATGATACAATGATCACATTATATTTGTCTAGAAAGAATATATATTTAACCAATAAAAAGTAATTCCAAGCATGAATTTTGCTTTTCTCAGGTGTTAGTTGAAAATAAAAACTAATTTCAAACAATGTTGTGTTTTAATGTACTTGAAATATTCAAAGAACTTCCAAGAAAACAAACAGCTGTGGCAGCATTGTATAATAGTAGACTAAGTGTAGGAGTAGTTACCAGAAACTCTGGAATTATAATCCTGGTTATTGGGCAAGTCATTATTTCTGTATCTCAATAATCAGATCTGTAAAATGTAGATAATACTTACCCCTAATCTTCTAGGAATGCTATGATGATTAATTAGTTCATCTTTGTACAGCATTTTGAAAACATAAATGTCTGGAATGCTCTACAGTGTTAATAATATTATTGTTTTAATATTTTTCTTTTTCTATACAGCCTCGCGCATGTTACCTTGAAATTTGTCTTTTAAAACAGCCAGGAGAAAACACACGAAATAATACAAAAATATTTTGAAGATTTCTATCTAAAAGGTGGTTTGAATGAAGCCTCTAATGAGGCTATTTCTAATAAGTATCTCAGAATTGTCTTACTGCCCCTACTCTAAAACCTAAAACAATTTTACAGAAGCCTTACAGATGTCTTGCGTGCTTCAACATAAGTATTCAAAATAATGGTCCTACTTACGTTTCTGTGTCTGAAACTAACGATTCATTATTACACACGTCATTGAAAGTGTGAAGTTGATTCTACAGTTAGAAAAAGGAAGAAGAAATAAAAATTTAGTTTTAACAGTATCTTGTGTGGTAACTTTTCTTATGTATAAAAATGTTAGTGACAGGAAATAAAGAAGCTAATGTTTTGGATAATTATTTAATCACAAAATATAGTAAACACAGGTGTGTTTCCTCATCATAATTTTCATAAAATATTCTAATACTAAATGTTCTTTTTCATAACTTGCTATTCTAGAATTAGGAATGTTTCTGATTAAATCTACAGAATAAAATAATAATCACTATTCTCAGTAATTAACAAGGATAGGGTAAATTTATTTATTTAACTTAAAAAAATGGCTTTTTGAAGACTTATTTTCACTGAACAGATCTTTTGATATATGTAAACTTCACCCATTCCAGAACTCAAAGCCAGGCTTCTACCAGTAAATTTCACAGATCAGTTTTTATTGAAAATGAAATTAAAATTACACTGATGGGACATTTTAGTGGAAATTACCAGGTTATCATACCCTGCCTACTATAGCTTCTCAGAGGTGATTTATTCAGTAGTCAAGAACGAACTGAGCGAGGGAAATGAAACTGAAAAAATGTAATGAAAGCTTGAGGGGACTTTGAATTTATGGATCCATGGCATCACAAGGGGGAAAGAAAAGCTAACTTTAGATAAGAAATATATCTTATGTCCACCACTTCAATTTTACATAAGCAACATTTTCAACAAGAAAACTTTGTACAATCAGAGGTGAAATTTTATTCACATTACCTAAGACTTTGTAAATAGACCATTACAGTTAAAAATGTAAATGGATTATTTTTTTAAATTAAGTTATAACAGTGACAATTAAGCAGAGATCTTGCCTATTTACTACATGAGCTTGAATCCTTATACTCAAAGATCCAATCACCCTCCAAAATGTTACCCCTCATATCTCTGTCCACTACTGGATCCCCTCGATATTGTTAGTTAAAATGAATTCAGTTGAGACAGATGTGAATGGCTGATGAGGTTATGTGATTTATCAAAAAACAGTTCATGATGGTATGGGAAGAGTAAGAGCATTTCAGGAAGTTGACACAGAGTAAGGGAGGAGAGAGAGACAGGGCAGAGTTAAGGTTGGTATTTAAACTTTAGCTCAAAATTTCACAACATTATCAAAATTCTAAATCCTAGCTATCTACTTATTACAGGTTTTTGATAGGCTAAATGAAGTTACTATCCTAACTGTATATTAAATATTATGAATGTGTGAATTTCCATAGTGTTTACAAATAATTCATTCATATTAGGGATATGAAGTTTAACCAGTAAACCTCACCCTTAACAGGTGAGGCTTATGTGTTAAGGTCCTGCCACAGGCGGGGGGCTGCTCCAGAGAGAGGCTGCTCCCCCACAACCCCTGCCTGCAGGGTGCCCTAACCCACCGCAGGCAGGGGTTGCTCTGGCTGGGCTGGAGCAGCTCCTGCCTGCGGAGGAAGGGGAGTGTTTCTAGCCCAGTGGTGGTCTCATCCCCCTTTCATCAGTTAACAACTGGTTAAACAATATATTTATAGCCAATTAAATGCAATTTTACATCTCTAATTCATATAGGCCTTTTCACTGGAAGTATGATCTCAGAAAAGAGGAAATTACTATGTTTCTCCAGCATCTAATTTGACATAGTAAAGTAATATACTGTGGAGAGTGCAATCTATCTGCAAAACTCTTTTTAGTCTTCTAGTTACCAAGCTCTACAGATAATAATTCCATATAGCACACAATGATGCATATGCAGATATGTCCATCACCAGCTTTCCAGACCTGTTAACATATATTCAGCTCTCAACTCAGCAATTTATAAGTCAATTAGCAATTAAACTTGTAATAACATTTTTAAATAAAATGTGATAATTATTAACAATGGCTCAAACAGAAATTTGGAGTTACTGACCAATAGGCTTCTTCCTGGCCAAAACATGTTGAGGAGAGATTAAGCTTCTTTCAAGTAAACCAGAAAATGGAGAAGACTTCACTGCTTAACTCTCTTAACTATGTGTCCATGGTCAAGGATTTCTACCTCCCAGACAAGAAAGATATACATGTCTATCTTCCTAGAGGAGTACTGCAGGAAGCAGCTAGGTATGTCATGAAACTAGCTACATTTGACATAATGTTGTTTAATCTTGAAGATCTTATAATACGGAATTGAATTTTGGAATTTTAGTGTATATCTCTATATAGACAACAATTACACATCCTTGTAACCAGGACTCATGGGGCTCGGGTTGCAGGGCTATGAAAAAAGATGTGTAGACATTCAGGCTAAATCCTGAGCTAGCTCTGGCACTCAGTAAGTGGGAAGGAAGGTCCAAGACCCAAACTACAATTTTACAGAGATACAGAATGTGCCAGCTGAGACAGACTAGCCATGGGTGTTAACTGCTGTGTATATACGCTCAAAGACTAAACTTCCATACTATCTTTGGATAATAATCTTTGACAGAAAATGAGTTTCTGAAACCTCATCAAGTTTTCTTCACTAGTTGTCTTGAACTTCACTAAAACTGGATTCTGAAAGAGTAGAAAGTAAATGGGCTCTTCGCTAAATTCTCTCTGCAAAATGAAAAAACTGAGGAGAAACCATCTTCTCAGTTATATATCTTCTCAAATGACTAGGTGAAAATGGAGAGTATGAGAAGTTGGGAACTCCAAGGAAACACATTTTATGATCTAACAAACAGTGTTGAACTAGATCCGTGGTCACCAACCCATCAATCGCGATCGACTGGTCGATTGGGAAGCCCCGACCAGTCGATCGCGAAGCATTCGGGACCCCTCCCTCCTTTCCCACCACTCTGAAGAAGCCCACTACCTACCTCCAGCTGCGCGCCATTTCCGGGTGTTTGAGGAAGTGTGCAGGCTGTTCCTCCTCCTCCCCCGAATAGCCAGCGCCATACCACAAAACAGGTCTGTGGTGCGCTGGGGACTCTCTGCGCAGGAGGGGAGGTAGGAGTCCCCAGAAGAGGCATGCCAGGGCTTCCCTTCTCCGCGCCGGGGGGAAGTGGAAAGGGGGGGTTAGAAGTGCCGTGAAGTGGCACGTGCCCGGGCTTCCCTCCTTTATGGGGGCAAGGGGAGGAGGAAGAGGAATCCCCAGAGGAGGCGCACGCTGGGGCTTCCCTCCTCCGCGTGGGCAGGGGCTTTGAAGTCCCGAGAAAAGGCGCGCAATCGCACTTCCTTCCTCTGGAGTGGGGAAGGGGAGGGGTTTCCCGGAGGAGGCGCGTGCTGGGGACTCCCTGTCCCCTTCAGCAGAACCCACCGGCACCCTGTCCCCTGCCCCAGAACCCACTAGAACCCTTCCCCAGTACCATGTCCTCTGCTCCCACCACCACAGTTGGGGCCACATTAGTGAGATGGGGGATTGAAGGAGTTATTTTTTTTGCATCTCACTTGTGTAGTCCCAACTGACTTTTCTGTGGGTCAGTGAGCCCTGACTCAAAACAAGTTCCCTGCCCTTCTCGTAAATAAAGACAATGCTGAAACTTTTTGTGTTTGACAAAATATTTTATTTAAAAATGAAGCCTGGCCAACGAACTCCTAATTGGGGCCAAGCCCCCATCTGCCCTCAGCATTATAACACTCCTGTATCTCTCCCCCTTTCCACTCCGGACCGTAGATCTGAGCCTATCATTCACTGAAACCCCCTGTCCTGAGCCTCTCAGATCCCCAAACTCCTGCATCCTCAGTCTTCTGCCACAACACTCCTGCACCATCCACAATCTGCCCATCTTACTCCCAACCTCCTTATCCTGAGCCCCTCACATACTCCAACCCAAACTCCTGCACCCTCACATACACAAGCATGTGGCTTTCTCAGCACCCCAACCCTAACACTCCCCATCCTGGAGCCCTCTCCCTGAGCCAGCATCCCCTTCTCCACCTCCTCCTGCATCCAAATTCCCTCCCAGACCTTGCACCTCTCCACCCTTTCCCACACCCAAATCTCTCATTCCCACCTCAGAGCCCACACATCCTGTCTCAACCCAGTGAGGGTATGGCTAGACTGCAGGAGTTATTCCAGGATTCCAGAGGTATCCCGGAAAAACTCTTCTGTGCCAAGGGATGCGTTTGTTCCTCCGTTTTTTTTTTTTGTTTGTTTTGTTTTTTTAGCAGAAAAGCAAACATGCTCTTTCGGTAACTCCTGTATTCCTCGTTCCGTGAAGAATAAGGGGGCTTCCGAAAGAAGGGGTTTTTCTGACATTTGGCCCAGTCTAGACAGAATAATAAAAAAAGTGGCAGTGTAGCTGAACCCTCAGAGCATATAAGGGCTGGGGATAGCAAGTGATGGAGAGGAGAACAAAGGGCAGGGCTTCAAGGAGGGGGTGGGGTTTTGGGGGAAGGATGGGATGGTAGATCTTGGCTTGTTCTGACATTTAAAAAGTGATCTTGGGTGTAAAAAGGTTGGAGACCACTGAACTAGATACATTGACAGAACTCAGACGATGCAAAGCTAGAGACTAGTAACCAAGGTTCCTTTGCAAATTAGATGGTTATGTAAACAAAGAAGAACTGACATGTTTACATTCATTTCCCCTCAATCTTTAGAGTCCTTTGTTTGCAAAGAGGACAGTCAAAACTTCTGTAACTTTGCAGTTTAGATCTTGATTCCAGGACAGATGCAGAGGATCACAGTAATTTCTCTTTGAACCAGACAATTCATAAAAACTATTCCAGACAAATTTTATAAAATAAAGAACCTAGAGTTATTATAATGGCAAAAAGCAGAGTTGTGTTTTAGAATGATCCTGACAAGATGAAAATAATTGAACTTTAAAAAACAGGAGACAGGCGATTTTCTACCAAGTGAGTGCCAATGTCTGAACTGACTGGAATAAACAACTAACAAATGCAGTTTTGGAGTAGGTGAAATTATTTATCCACCAGGTTTCAAGAGGTTTAATACGTTATCAAAATATAAAACATAAAATATAAAAAAAAATCATTTTAAAAAAATGAAGGTCCAAACATTTGCCTT